TCCAATGACGACTAGTGGAGTGCCGACTCTCTGATGCCTCGAGAAAACATTGCTTTGCCCCTTTCCTTTACACTACGCATTTACTAATTTCTTGTAATTTATATTCCTAGAATTATTAAGCTAGCTAGTGTAGGGTTGGAACTAGGGTGTAAAACTTTGCGCTGTAGATGTAGACATCACTTGTTAGGCACATGGGTGGAGTGGGCTAAACGATAAGTTTAATTTTTGTGTGAACTTTAAGTTGGCCCAATCCACTGCTCTTAGGCATCTTGATCTATTCACCTGCCACGACACACCATGCTGGCCCGAGGCGCTGTGAGTAGTGCAGGCGAGCGTTCATGACCGACGCTATATGCGATTGTTTTATTGTAGATCTTGTTATTAAATAAAATAGAAATTAAACATAATAGCGCGACAAGATTGGCAAGGAACACAGGCACACACAGGTGCCGTCGTCGTTCAACATCGGTCCGCACAACACACCAATATCGCTACGTTTGGCACGAACAAGGGGAAACGGGCAACACGTACGTCGTGTATATTGTGAGGTCGACATATATATATGTGGTGCTGAGATATAACGACACAAACGTTTTTTGAGATTAGTTTGATAGTTTGATATATAGTAATGGTAGCTTGGCTCGAGGCATATATCAGCGGTCTGAGAAGTATATAACTAATTCGAGCAGTCGCGTTTATTTGCGTGGATCACTTAGGATATATTTGATTGTTACATAGGTGCATGCACTTTGAGTTGCGTACGTCCACGTCTTCCTTCCTGAGGCAAAGACCGCTCGTATATCGTTCGTCCAACCAACGACAACGAGTAGTCGATCCGGCCACCGATCCGTCACTGTTTGGGTGTGGGAGCAATGACTCGTCAGGCGGAGGAGGTCCCGTTCTTTCCAGGGAATAGGAGCGCGTCAATCAGTCGGCAGACGGTCGTGTCAGCCTCGGGTGTTTTCTAGTACTGTACACTACGGCCTTTACGCATTGGTGTGCGTCATGGGTGTGCTGGTGTGGTGCGAGACGTCCTACCACTGCTTGTCGCTTCAGTCCAACTACTAATTCAGTTGTACCGTGTGTCGATTGTGCAGACGCGAACCGTACCCATCTTTACATTCTACTGTAGTACGCTAATCCTCATATGATTTGTGGATAGTATTATTCACACCTATAACCTTCTTTTAAGAGCCTGAGACGGTCTTTAAATTAACTAACAAACGTGTGCGTGCGTTGCGAATCAATATATATACGAATCAGACTCCGTGTATCATCGCTAGACACGAGTTGTTCTACCTCGTATTAGCACGAGATATGTAGGGCGAGACAAATACGTATTGAAATTAGACTATGTGTTCATCATCGGTAAACGCGAGTTATCCTAGTATAGGTCAAATATGAGAGGTAGTTATGAGGTGTCGGTGCAGAAAATGACCAACACGTAAATATTTGTAATTTTATTGTACGTTGTGATCGGAGGTGGCCTAGCACTAAATGACACAGGGTTTATACTGGTTCAGGCAATATGCCCTACGTCTAGTTTAAATCGGTTGGTGACTTTATTCCTGAACCCAGGTGCTCGAAGTTTGCTGTGGGGTTACAAACGAAAGGGAGAAAGACGGGGGGAACAAGAGGTCCGGTCGGATTCTGGTCTGAAGGGACGAGAGTGACGGGAGCTCCACTATGTGCTAAGTGTTCGAGCGTGTACTCTGTATAACTTTAGAGTGTCTAAAGTTACAGAGGGTGAATCAATGTAAGTGAACCGAGGGGCTCTCCCAGTTGGGAGATGGCGCATCCCCTTTTATAGATGAAGGAGACGGCCTTACAAGTGAGAGAGAGAGAGAGATTACGTATGTTACTAAGTCTTGTTGCCCACGCCGGCGTGTACCAAATAATGGTAGGCGTCCACAATATTGTTTAATGTCAGATGCACATGGGAGGTTGCGTCGTCTTCTTCTAGTCTGGCAGACATCGGTGCCTGCCATACTGTTGATGCCCAGAGGCATGTAGGGGGTTTTATCATGTTCCCCTGGTACGGTAAATGCCGACGCCCACAACACTATTGATGCCCAGAGATATGTGGGGGGAGCCTTACCGCGTTTGTCTGGTATGGGAGTTGATGGGGCGCTGTAGGGAAAATGTCGGCTCCTACAACACTGCTTGGGTTCTGTCATGTCAGGAAGGTCGCAGGGTACTGTCCTATAGGTGCACAGGGTACGGTCCTCGGTATTGCGGTTGACTTGAGTGCCCCTTACTTTCTCCGTCTGTTTCCTGGTCCTTACCGAGCGGGCGTCCCCGGTCGGTTGGTCCCAGTCGGCTCTGATTGCGCCAGTTGGAGAAGAGCTATAAGCAGGGGTTCGGCGTCCCCGGTCGGAGACGCGGGTCGAAGTCGGAAGTAGTGTTTGGCCAGACCTTCCGGTCGGAGAGGCCATTCGGGGGCGGGCCGAAGTTGAAAGCGAGCGTTGTTCCTCCTCAGTGAGGCCTTCCGGTCGGAGAGGCGGACCAGAGTCGGAAGCGGGCGCCGTTCCTCCTTGGCCAGGCCTTCCGATCGGAGATTGGATTGCCCTTCTGGCCTGTCGTTTAGGTTTTTGGGCCGGCCCATGAGTTGTGCGTCGTTCACAATGTTGTCTGTTGGGCCGAGCCTTTGTTGGAAAACCGGTCCACGAGGGACCCCGTGTTTATGAGCCCGACATGAGGAGATGAACGAAAAAGAGTCTTTAATATTAGGAAGGAGGACAAAGTCATCACACATCTCGCTGTCAGTGCACACATAGCCTTGCTACAACCTAATAAATATTGATGTTTCTTCAGAAGTAGAAAAATAAGACCTATGACTAATATAAAACTTGAGTATATCTTCCAACAAAAAAAACTAATGATTCGAGCCAAGCACAGGTCATGTCTAAAATATAATATATTTAAATAAATTTTAGACAAAATAAAGCCTAATAAAAGAGCATATTGTCCCTCACTAATTGAGATTAACTAGAAAAGCGCCCCGCGCGTTGCTGCGGGAATCGCTGCTGAAGTTATATTACTTATATTTATTAATATGATTGAATAAATATCATAATACATGTTAGTGGATGATTTTTAGCATTCTGACGTGGACAACTAAATATATGTTAATAAATGATGCGGTTTGCTAATGTGAATACTTTGAATGAAGACATAATTGCATATGTTAGTTGCATGTGTTAGTGGATGCTAATGTGGACACTTTGCATGGCGAGATAGTTGCATGTGTTAGTGGGATGTTCTAGTGGATGCTGATGTAGACATTTTGCATGACAAGATAAATTGCTAGTGGGGTTTGAAAATATAAAAGATAATATAGATATAGATATAGATACAGACGTAGATGTAGCAGTTCAGTTGTTATTTTTTTAATTGTTGACTGGTTGTTTTGAATAGCACTAAGTTTTAAAAATTTCTCAAAATTTCCTGCCAAGAAACAAAGAAAAGAGGTAGTTGAAGACCCATAATACCATAGATTTAGTAAAATTTTTGAACTCTAAATTTCTTATATTTTAGGATGATGGGAGTAATATTTGTTAGAAGCAAGTGCTACTACATATGCAACATAATCATGCCATGAGAAAGAAGGTACTCCCTCCAGGTTGGTAAAACAAATCATTTTGGACAAGCTTTGGGTCAAACATTGAGAATATAAATCATAAATAACTTATAAGTTGTTGAGTTTGAAAATATAAAAACCACATAAATAGATTTGTCTTGAAAAATACTTTCATAAACATATACATATAACACTTTTTAATAAATACTTTAATAAAAATAAGAAGCCAAAGTTATACTTTGGAGACTGTGTTGCTGTCCAAAACGACTTCTTTTATCAACCTGGAGTGGAGGGAGTAGTACTTGCCCAAGAGATTTTCTATCTCTGGCATGTTCAAAAAACTTGGAATGATTCAATTACCGCTAGTTTTGAAAACAAAGATAATTAGGAACTCCTTTATGATTGGATTTTACTACGTACTCCCTAAGTACACTCAAGCATTAAAAAATTATATCAAAGTATAAGAGATTTTAGGGGATAAGAGATAGTTTTCCATTAGATAGTAGCACAAATCCGGTAGATATTAATATTATTCATTTCCCTTTATCAATCAATCTCTATTAGTCACGTTGTGATACTGTCTGATTAGGAAATGGTGAAGCAAGAGTATATGTGTGTTTCATATTATCTCTTAATTTGTTATAAAATCTCTAATTGCCCTGTATTATAGGAAATACAGGACAGAGGGAGTAATAATTTATATTCGTGGAACTTTCAAAAGCGGCATGTCTTTGGAATCTCTAAATGTCCACCACCGTTCCGAATTATAAGACGTTTTGGCTTTTGTAGATTCGTAACTTTTACTATCGTGCACCTTGATATATATTATGTTTAGATGCATAATAAAAGTTATGATTCCAGAAATATTAAAACGTTTTATGATTTGAGACAGGGGAAGTAAGCAATTTGAATTTTGAATTCAAGCAGAGGATGGCATGCAGATGCATGCACAGATTAACACATCCCACTTACCACTGCACATAAGTACACGGCCAACACCGAAACTGACGGCAGGACGTAGGACCACGGGTCCACGACACTCACCCCCACCCCCACACTTACGTTGTTGACAACCCTACTCCCACATCGATCCCCCAACACACAGCTGGTCCCAAACAGGAGAGGAGGAGACCCACAGCTGTGCACTGCAAAGCAACACGGCCCCTCCTGGCCTCCTGCACGCCTCCCAACTCCATCCATCCATCGCATTCCATTCACCCCATATTCTAACCTCGCCGCAATCCATGAGGAGCAACCAAACATCTCCAAACGCACTAGCGGTAGCGGCGGCAGCTACCTTTCCTCCATCACTTCGCCTTCCTCTCCCAATCAAACCCTAACCCTACGCCTGCCATCGTCCCTAGCTACACCATACCCTCCCTCATCAGGCTAGACCAGATCGATCGATCGATTTAGCAGGATGAGCGAGCGAGATGCGCATGACGGCGGGAACACCACCGGCCGCAGCGCGGGCGCGGCCGCGAGCATCGACTCCTTCTCGCAGCTGCCGTTCATCTGCCAGCCGGCCGCAGCCCGCGAGAAGCAGAAGCAGCCGCCGCCGCGAAGCTCCGCCGGGACATCCGGCATCCGGCTGTTCGGCGTTGACGTCCCACCGGACGCCGCTGCCCCGGGGACGGCCTCCCCCGCCGACGTGGAAGAAGGTAGCTCCGTCAACGAAAGCACCGACAACGCCGCTGCCGAACCGGCGGCAGGCGCTGCCGGGGCAGGCAGCAGTGACAGCGGCGGCGGCGGAGGGCCCCGGAAGTTCGAGTGCCACTACTGCTGCCGGAACTTCCCGACGTCGCAGGCGCTGGGCGGGCACCAGAACGCGCACAAGCGGGAGCGGCAGCACGCGAAGCGCGCGCAGTTCCAGACCGCCATGGCCATGCACCACAGCCAGTACTACTACCCGGACCCCGCCCACCTCTACCCCGCCTTCGCAGCTTATAGACACCACCACCGCTTCGCCGCCGCACCGGCGCCGCCGCCGCACTACCCGTCGTGGGCGGGTGCCACCAGCAGGTACTACAGCGGACCCGGGTCCATCTCGCAGCCGATCAACGGCAGCCCGGTGACGCCGTCGTCCGGGCTGTGGCAGGTCTCCACAGGCGCCGGCCGCATCGGAGTGGGGACTCCGGCTCCATTGGCCGCGCGGCGTCAAGAACAGCCCGTGCAACCACTGCCGATGATGCTCGGAGCTGAGGAACCAGCAGTGGTGGTGCGGCCGGGAGCTGGCTCGGTGCCGTTCTCGCCGTCGACATCCTCCTCGTCTTCGTCGGCTTCGCCTCATAAGCGCCCCGCCCCACCGGAGTCTAAAGAGAATAATGTGAGTTTGGATCTGAGCTTGTAGTCGCGAGAAATGACAGTCGATCGGCCACAGACTTAAAATTGCTGGTCTTCTAGACTTCTACAAAACAAAATTGAGTGCCCTCTTTTCTTTTCTTTTTTGGCCTCCTCTCCTATGTAAAAAATGGTATTACAGTATAGAAAACGGAAGCGGTCGGTTCGGGATATTTCTATATTTTAGCGATTAAATAGTACAAAAAATTGTTGAAAATGGTTGTGAAACCAATTGAAAATGACAAATTTTTATGTTTGGCGAAATTTGAAAACGGTATCATAATATAGAAAACGAAAGCGGTTGGTTCGGAATATTTCCGTACTGTTTTCATCCTTACTCCCATGCATGCTTGCAATTGTTCAGTTCAGCTTCTATATCCAGTACGGTGTTCAATCAAAGATAAGAAACAAATGATTCTCTCTCAACTGTTTATCTGCACTTCTGGAATTGTTCAGTTCGTTTTGAGCATTTTCTTTTAACTGAAATTTCGTATACTGAAAAAAGGGATTTTTTTAGAGTAAAAGGGATTACTATAGCTGGTGAAAGGAGTAATTTACAATTTTAGATTCTGAACTTGTGCTATCGATGAACATAGGCTTTGCCGAAGTACATTCGCAACTCCGCATGCATGCACTTCTTGAAAGATTTGAACTGTGCGTTAATTAACCCGCGCCCATTTAAGTTATTCTATAATTCAAACATTAGTGCATTTATTTCAAAATCCAAACTCCATGATTTATGAATCCGAATATCATTCCTTATTCTTCGGTGTTGATTTCGTTTTGATAAACAATTTAAAATGGCCCCTTCACTAAGCTGTGAGGGAAACGAGCATACTTGGAGGCTTGGTGTTTAGTATGCCTTACTCTGAAACTCTAATATGTTTAATTGATCGTCAGGTTTGAAAATACTTTCTGAATGGCAACTTAAATGTTTAATCATCAGGCCCAGTACCTTTGGAAAAGAGCATATAGTCCTATTTTCTTGCACTAGTCTTAAACACCGATTGACTATCAACAAACTGCTAGTAAAAAAAATCGGAAAAGAGAAAATCAGGTGCTACATTGAACAATTTACTTACCTTCTTCGTCATTCTGAAGTGGGGAAAAACAGACTTTGGTTCTGGCTGTGAAAGAAAAGGGAGGGGACCACTGATGAAAATATTCACTTTGCGGGGTTTTTTGTGTGGGTGGGTGGGTGGGTGGGGGGGGACGTACTTTGCTGAAGAGAAATATACATATATTCTGCGTTTAAGGTTTCTATTTTTAGTTAGAGGCACCTTCGATGTTTATTAGCTGAGCTAATGGTATGTTTACATGATGGTGGAATGACTCTTAGCTCCCTACAATTCACTTCCGTGTACCATGAAACCATAAGATGCAGAACTTGGGTATATGGAATTATATAAGGATTCTTATGCATCCCAACAAAAACTGCAATCTGCCTTTACGGAAAAGTCTGGAAAGCTGTTGTTCAATAATTGCATATTTCTTAAAAAGAGTGCAGCAGTAGTAGAATAATCATATCATCCATCATCATATATAGGAAAGTCAGACAATTAAGCCAACTTTGAAGCTTTTGAATCGTATACATAGGACACCTGATTACTAAAACAAATCTCTTTAGTGCTCCTTATTATCAGATGCTAGTTTTGAATAACAAGCAGCTAGCTAGGTGCAGTGCAGCGCATATATAGGTCTACTAGCTAGTACAAGCTATTGCATTTCTTGTTGGGATATATGCATGTATACCCTACTCAAAGTCGGAACTTTCTGTTTGTACTCTTTATTCTTTAGCCCCGTTCGCGTGTCCTTAAACTCGGCTTAATCCGCTTATTTTTTTCCATCCGAATAGTGTTTTTCTCTCACAAATTCCTCCAGTATTCCTCCAAACCATCTAGATTCCTCCAGAATTCAGACAAGCGAACAGACCCTTCAATCTCTCGAAACGTATATACTTTTGAGTTTTGAGCCGATAATTAATGGAAACTAGCAAGGTTGCGCCATACAGTACTATAAAACAATCTGTACAATAAAGCATGGAATCACATTTATGAGCAGTATTCATGTTAAGAGTTTACTACTGTCAAATAACATTAGTTACCAGCAGTGGTATCATGTACTTCTTTCGGTCATAATAAATATAATTTCATCTAGGTCATATGCCTAAATCAAACTATTCTTTTTAACTTTGACTATTCAAATATCAAATCTCATATATATAGAATGACATTACAAAATTAATATACGATATATACTCCTCATGAAGAATACTTAGTTAACCATATATAATTATTCCAATGTAAGATAATATATTTTTTATAAATATGTGGCTACTCAAAATGGGGCACTTCTAACAGTCGAGTCGGTCAACTCGCTCATATTGCCATTTCATTTAAGAGATAGCACAAAAGACAAGTTTTCCAATGGCCTCACTCTTTAATTGAGACCCTATCTTGGGGCTCACATCCTCTCTCTTCTCCCCAACGACCCGTTTCGATCATTGGTTCCACACCACCAGCCTGCTAGTTGTTCCAAGCCGCCACCATTGCTTGTCACTCGAGGCTTTTGTTGCTCCTCAAGCCAACCCCCCTTGTCTTTCACCACCTTCCCCTTGCCGCTCTTGCTAGATGTCAGCTATCTGCTGTGTCGATCGCCTCATCGCTCATGCCAGGATCACCACGAACTAGCCTCTCCTCGAGCACATTGTGGATGCATGCCATCGAAGCCACCATTCGAGACCGCACGTTCGAGTTGCTTCATGCCACGAATTAGTCATGGGTGTGTCCCCAAGCATGCGGCAACATGCTTGTCCATGCGGTCACCACTGGATGTGAGGTGACGTGTTTTGCTCATCCATGGATGCGCGTGATAGCAAGATGACCTTGTATTGCAAGTGCGCTCCATCCGGCGACTACATCGTGGCTAGCATCCCAAGCATGGATAATCCACAACATCTGAGATGGGCAAATCTACGTCATCAACAACCTGTGTTTACGCTATGACTAGTGGAGTGGCAGTGATGAAGAGCTCGCACATGGACGAGGCAATGATATCTTCGTCGGTCTGGGTGTCAGTGTGGTCATCGGTGGCGCGTATAGACAAGGAAAATAGAAGTGAGAGAGCGAGACACAAGAGAAGGGTGGGCCTAAGAATGGCATCGTAGTTAGTTTGAGACTAGCTAGCGTGGTAAAAGATAGCTTTTATCCCTCCTCTCCTATCTATTCTTCCATGTAAGCAAAACATTGAGCTAAATTCTTATGATCGAGTTAGCTAGTGTGTAAAGTAAAATGGTGAGCTGGATCTATATGAATTAACTGATATGTAACTGAGGTGTCTTCATATTGGAGACCATGTCGATGTCCTAACTTCATGTCAAACATGGCCTATACTACATGGGATAGGATGGAAACCGTATAGATGGTGACGTTTTATGACCTCCAGAATGCATACACTTTTTGAGAAGACGAAATTAAAGCAAGCTATTAGAGATCGATCGACTCGGGAGTTGCTTTGTGACTTGTCACAGGCAATTAGTCTCCCACATTTGTAGCGTATAGGGATAACATACACTTATAAATCGGTTCACATACTTTGCAATAATGATCAGGACGAAATTAAATGAAAATCCCAATCCCATGCCATGCGTGACCGTATATCTAAGATTCCTAACGAACAACTTGTCTGGATTTTGTGTCAGTGAGAGGGAAGGGAAGGGAAGGGAAGGAATGGCCAAAGAGACGGTGCTGCAGATCGGTCAGGATGGCAGGTGCTGCCCACGCAAAGCGCCAAGAAACTGATGAAATACACCCACACATATAGCAGCAGCTAGCAGCACTACTATACATGTGCGCAGGCCAGGTAGCTGACGCTACACGTACGGGGGCACAGAGCGAATGAAATACTGGTACTGTACATGTGCGCAGAGCAGATGCAGAACAGTAGGAGTATACGATTACGAGCCGAGCACAGGCCCATGGAATCGGCAGGTGGGTTCGTTGTGCCCAAGCCCCAAGTACGTGTACAGTAGAATGTAGACGTACGTAGGGGTGAAAAATAGATGCTACTATCCATGTATTCTCTCTCGACTGTGTTTGGTGGTTCAAATTATGATTTAAAATTCAATCTTGATCCATCGTTTGCATGACATGCGTGAACGCTTGCTGGAGCTCGCGCGTAGTTAGCTCCAATCTACAAGTTTTGTATGACAGTGGTGCCCTCGTTGGTGTCACGACAAAAGTTCCCAGTACGTAGGTACGTGGGACGTGGATCGTTAATTTTAAGTTCCTGGTTCAAAGGAGGTATATCTTTTTGGGATGTTTGGTTCGATGATGGGATCATGCATGATCCTTATATAGTTGGGACGATGTACCCGGGACGTAGCTATGGAACAGTGAATCAAATCTTTTGTTTTACCATTTTTCACTGATTTTTTTACCATATACGCTTGATTGGACTTTTTTTGTTGCCATTGTTTCATACTAGGCTGGAGGCCCATTTACGTTAGGTTTAGGTGAAGTTGTGCTTCGACTCTATGTACGGTCCACACCCATTAGTCGAACCAACAGCCGCCGCCATCCAACCCCAGCGCCGCAGCATCGCGCCGCCCACAGCCACTGCGTCACGCCTCCGAGAATGGCGATTTGGATCCTGTTTCTTCCTCCTTCTCTTGATGATCCGGTTTATCTTGGTATGCCGTCCCAGTTCATGTCCCAGGCACGTTCCTCTGACCGTACGTACCGCGTCGTCCCTGATTTCGTGATCCGGACGGTAGCTCTTAGCCCACTCATATAGTTAGTTAGCTTTTTATTATTAATATATGGTCTACTAGTCTTTGTCATAACTTTTTTTTTTGGTTCTCGTGTCTAAATCGACATTAAGTTTATAGCCCGCTTTTCTTCTCTCTCTCTTCGCTTCTCTTCACCTCAGCATTTAGTCAGCTTACGGCCTATTATTATACTTGCTTTGACGCGCGCGCAACGGCCGGCCAGCCACCAGTGGCACCTCGCATATATGAATAGTATAGTAGGTGTGGGTGCTGCTAACCCTAGGCATTCGGTTACCTGATTTTTTTCGGTCGGATAATTCAAAATTCAGGTAATGAAAACAGCTACTCGATATTAGCTTTGAAAAAACACTGCCCGTAATTCCGGATACCCAATAATTCGGGTGCGGGTTCGAGTATACCGGCCCGATGTAACCGACATTCACATAAACGAGCAATTTAGAAAAGATTAGTCATACATTGCACGATTGTTCGGGTTTAGGTGCTGTCCCAGTCGTGTCGCTTCCAGTGCATATTAGAGGCGCGTCGCTGCTGGTGCAGACTTGCCGAGAGCTGGCATGGCTGCCTGCGTGGGCATGACGAAGAGATCCGGAGAGATGGCACCAGGTACCAGACAGACATCATAGATGGATGTTTACGCGGCAAAACTCGTTTGCGGTCGCGGTATGTAATGCATCCGTCCAGACCGAGGACGAGGAGTTGAAGTGCAGAACTAAGATATCCAACAAGCGTTGGGGGCTGATTGATGACGTAGTAGCCTGGGGAGAATTGCAGCGTGTTGCCCAATTTCATGCTGCCACTGGTAGCAAAATGATGTTCTGTGATCTCTATTGTAAAATACACTTAGGGTATGAAGATGACACATTGTGTAGTATAAAGGACATCAATGGACTTTGATGCTGCATCAGCTCCTAACTAGGGCCCGTATGTGATGATTGGCGACCTCGGACTTAAACCCTCAGGAGCTAATGTTACATATGTGTACTGTTGAGCCTCGCCTCTAATTATTATTTAGAGACGCATGATGTTGGTCCGTCTCTGATGTAGCATCTTCTTTATGTGTTTAGATGCACATTGTGTAGTATAAAGGACATCAATGGACTTTGATGCTGCATCAGCTCCTAAAAGGGCCCGTTGTGATGATTATACCTCGTATTAGGTGCAGGAGCTAATGTTACAGATGTAAAAAATCGCCACTAATTATTATTTAGAGACGCACGATGTTGGTCCGTCTCTGATATACCATCTTCTTTATGTGTTTCTGGCATAGTGTCACCAATGTCCCATTGCACACTATAGCACCACTGTGCTTGTGCCACCAACGAGGGCACCACCGCGTACGTATGAGGCCAGAGCGGTTTGACACGGAGCGCCACAGCCGCACAAGCCCATATGCTGCCAATGTTTGGAGCCTTTTTTGTTTTGGATCCACCCGATGTGTGGAACCTGGGCTTCGCCATTTTCCTCATGGGCCGGGCAACCGGGCAGAAGCCCAGGCACCGCTCATGTGATCCGTAAAAGATTTTATGGTATATAGCTAGCGAATTAATTTCTCAGTGAACTATGGGCACTTACAAAAGTCCCGAGTGTGTAACTCTATTGGCATGAATACAGCTATTCTTAAACATGAATACGTATTCAAAGAGCAATTTGCACGTCAAAATAGTCACTGTCATAGACCATAGTATACTATTCAAGACAGGTTTACACTACTGGATCCAATAAACTACTCCCTCTATTCTAAATTATAAGATATTTTGGCTTTTCTAGATACATAGCTTTTACTATACACTTCGATATACACTATGTTTAGATACACACTAAATAAAAGCAATATATATATATATAGAAAAGACAAAGCATCTTATAATTTAGAAGAAAAAAAATGGAGTACATATTATCAATCTCCCTTATGCCCTGACGGAGAATCCCTGAATAGATGTATTTAGTGGTTATTGGTTACCTAGTGTTAGCAAGAAACTATGGTCAGTAAAAAAAAACTCTTGTGATCCAAATCCTGCTGTGGCTAAAAACCCAGGTTAACAAAGCAAACTCAACCACGTTCTCAGGCTTCGTTCTTGCGGTTCCGCTACGGCGCTAGCGGCTACCGATGCCGCGTCCGAGCGCCAGCACATGGGCCGGCCCGAAAAGGAGATGTATCGCCAGCTCAATAATGTAATGGCCCTCGTTCCTACCGGCCACAGGCCTGCACGAAAGTGCATCTGGCCTGGCATCGCTGAGTCGCTCCCCTTCCCTGTGCCGGCGCCGCTATCCCCAAACCCAGTCTAAGACGAACGGAAAATACCTCTACCATTTTCGTTTCCATATTTTCGGACGGAAACCGGAGCAGGAGCCGGACATCCGGGAGCAAAAACGGTAGCGGGATATACAGTTATACGAAAACGGATAAATACGGTCGGAAAATAGACGAAAACGGACGGTAAGCGAAAACTTAAGCCGGGATTACATGTAACGTGTCTAATCATAACAATGCACATACACGAGTGAATATGAATAAATGATCAGTTCATGCAAAGCTTGGCTGGCGTTGGGAGCCTCTGCGTAGCAGATGTGCTGCGTGCAGTCATGCACTTCTGCACCTGTGTATATATATAATAATAATAATGTTGTATGGCTAGACGAACATACGTGCAACGACGATGAGGAGCAGCGGGAGGACAGCCACCTGTGCGTCGCCAAGTCAAAGGCAACAAGCTAGCAAAGTAGCAAGTGATTAGTGAGCTGCTGATACCATACAGAGAGAGGTCAGACCAGGCGACGGGCTGCACAGATGGAGAGGCAAAGGGAGGCCACTGGCCGGGTCGCGCTCGCGCAGCCTTGCATGCCAGTGGGCTGTGGCAGTACTGGGCCTATCCCGGTTAAATTAGAAACAGGATAAAAACGGGATCATCCATCCCGTCCGTTTTCAACCTTGCTCCAGCCGCGCCGGCGGCCGGTCCGTCCGCTCAACCATGGTGGGGGTGGGGGTGGGGGTGGGGGTGGGGCGGTAGCGGTAATGGGTGGCCTTGGGTTCGGCCTCGCGAGTGGTGAGTCGTGAACCCGACCTGACAGTCATGCCTGGGTCTGAAGTCCGGACCGCATATTTTTGGCCTCCCCCCTATCTCCAACACCGCAGCCGCTCGCTCCCCTCCTCTCCTGGTCCTCGAGCGAGAGAGGGAGAGAGGCGAGTAGTGCCAATGGCAGGCGCTGGCTGCCACTCGCTCCTCTCGCCGGCCTCACCAATCTCGCCTTCGTTCTTCTCGCGACACCGAGCGGCCACCGTCGGTGGAGGAGCCTGCCGGTCGGGTAAAGGTGAGCGAGCTCCTTCTTTCTCTGCTGGAACGTGCTCACTCTGCTCAAGATTATTGGTTAGCAGATATGCCTAGTTTTGCTGCTTGTTTTTACCGTTCGTGGAGAAATGTAACTGCGCTGGTTTTGATGTTGAGGCTAATAACTCTCAGTTCTTGGCATGCTTTGGATTCAGTGCAATCGCAGATCAGGTGTCTTTCCAAGGATGAGGATTCAAAGGGATGCGCGGACATGTCGAAGGGCAAGACGGTAAGTGTTGCCTTCTGATGTCCAGTTAGTAGGGTTTGCTAAACACGTGCCCAACTTCAGTAGTCTGTATACAACATTAGCAGTGTTCAAGACAAGTCCTCCCTTTCTCGGTGCTTTTCTCTTCCAACTCTACAATCAGAGTTAAGAAGAGATGGATAATAATAGAGAGCATGATCTCATATTATGCGTAGTAGTATATGGTAGCCATGTTTTTACTGTCAAAGTATCTTTAGAATCTGGACATATTAGATTCTAGTCATTGGTTTTATTTAGAAGTACAAACTGAAGAAGCGTCTACAGATGTGTTCAGTTGAAACTACCAAACATCTACTGGTTTTGATCTATATTTCCCTATTATGTTGTTTGAGCGTTGTGAGTGTGACCATTGCAACCATAATCCTGTCATTAAGAAATAGATTAAGTGAGATAATTATAATTGCTCCAGAGGTGGTCTTCATGATACCCAATATGGACATCTGCCTTTATTTAGCATCATGTTTCAGCAACATTTCACTTCCCTTTCCTCGCAAGTGTTCTGATGCTCCATCCACTATACAGGATGAAGAAATTTTATTTAGCTTTATTTTTTAGCAACATTTCACTTCCCTTTTCTCGCAAGTGTTCTGACGCACCATCTACTATCCAGGATGAAGAAACTACACCTTCAAGACGAAAATGTCTCGTCTGTCTTGGTGCTGTTACCTTAATCAGTGCAACAGGACCAACAATGTGTACACCAAATGGACTCGCTGCGGATATGATGAACAAGGCCGGGATACAGAAAGCTGTTTGCAGGAACTGTAATGGTAGTGGTGCTGTGATATGTAAGGGTCTTGCGGCACTTGTTCACTTTGTCTGCTCCTTGTTTATGTTGAATGACTTCATCAGTTCCAAACTCCTAGTCCTGCCAATAGGTCATCTACCTTCAATAGGAAATGGAAACTAGAACCAACAAATTTGTTCATCGGAGTAACTAACAACTTGCAGTATGCCATTTATATGCTAATAAACATAGTGAGTCATGCTCTGCACTTCTCATTTCACTTCAAGTACCTATCTCAATTGATTAGCAAGAAACAACAGCAGTTCTAGTTGATTGGCTAACCGGAACACTAATTTTGGCACAAATGAATTGATGAAATTGTACATGCTGATCCAATTTATGAAGTAAATACAACTTTTTGGTACTTGTATGGTATTTGGTATAGTTTCGTGTCAGGAGCTTTCAGTCTTGGTAAAACTACAAATTTGTTAGTTGTTACTCCTTGGAGTGATAATTGAATTTCATCTATATTCAGGTGACATGTGTGGTGGCACAGGGAAATGGAAGGCCCTCAATCGAAAGAGGGCAAAGGATGTTTATGAATTCACAGAGTGCCCAAATTGCTACGGTATGTTCTTTATATCATTTCTGCCTTTCTAGTGTATATGCAACACATGTAGTTTCAGATGCATGCCCTATGCCCTCATCCAATGAAAATCCAGCATCTTCACTCTTTTTTTTATTTATATTAACACACTACATGTGATTGACGCTGTATATTCGAACATTTCAATAATTTTTGTATGACCATTTTTTAAAGTTGTCAAGAATTAATCATGCTACGGATGTCATTAGGCCGTGGCAAGTTGGTATGCCCTGTCTGTCTTGGAACTGGCCTGCCAAACAACAAGGGACTCCTCCGACGCCCAGAAGCCAAGCAGTTGCTTGACAAGATGTACAACGGCAAGATACTGCCAAGGTCGTAGATTACTCTTCACCACGCCCCTGATTTTTGTTGAGCCATCGAGTAGGATCGTAATGACATTTGAATCAATGTAGCCCTAGTAGAGTGTAAATTTTTTGTTAGCCGTTCAACAAAGATTACACACATATGTAATGACCTTTTCTAAGCTATATATACCAGAAAGTCAAAGCAAGATTGACATGGTCGTCCAATAGTGGAAAAACTAAACCCAAAAACTAATGGCCTACACATCATCAGAAGAAATGAATCGATGCGAGAAGTGTTGGACATCGGGATGCACAAACCGTACGAGAGGACGGTGGATGCATGATAACTTATTCCAAGATCGCTATCGGCAACGTACAGCGCTGAATGTGCTACGGGAAGAAAGCACATCAGAGACTCTAATTTGTTGCCTTTCAAGACGCAGAACAACTACGGCGATGATAATAAAAAAGATGAACAACGGAAAACAAACTACATCGAACAGAGGAAGAGATCGAACAGGTCCGGGGCCTCAGAGACAATTTGGCAAATGTCGATGCATCAGAAAAATCAGATGGTACGGACAATAGATCTCCAATCATCGCCCCAAAACAAGAGAGCGAGAACTTTCAGAAAAAATAAACAAGAGAGCGCGCGTGCATGTTTAGAGTCATTCACAAGAGAGGCGATGATGGCTTTGGCTTCTCTCACCCTATCGACCTACCTTAGGACATGGCGGAGCGGCGGATTATGGCGCGGCAGCTGCTGGACAGGGGCACGGTGGCGGCTTAAATAGTGAGTACTGTCTGTGGAACCCTAGCTACACACGCGGTACACTACCCTGTTGGGCTTTCATTTAGGCCTGTGGTCTCTGAGTGTGGGCTTGTATGAGAACAGAGATTATGGCATCCTCCGGCCCAGAACGAAGCCCAGCCAGCACAGAACGAAGCCCAAGCTCCCAGTTTTTGACCTACATTTACCTCCATCTTCCAAGAACGTCATAGGGTAGTCGGAAACGATTGAACGCCGGCGTCATGGTCAGATTTTTTTTGCAACTCCCTGAAATGAATATAAATTAAAACAAATTACCAATTACATCAAAACCCTCGAGAGAGAGCCGAATTATAACTAACACTAAGGTGCCATGGAGACGGAAGGACCTCGCTAGTGGAAGGTAGTAGAAGGCCGACGAACTGTCGATGCAGACCATCTCCGACAAACCAAGGATATGAGTGAAGCAGTCGACGGAGTTTAAACAACGCAGCTTCCAGCAAGCCCCTTGTGGCCAGCTTGCTGCGCAGAAAGCGACGACAAAAAGAGAAGACGACGCAGGACTGCCTATCGATTTCGGCGACCATAGCATCAAATCGGTAAAATCCCCAACCGAAAAGGCCAAACTTTTGAGGCACTAGGAACCACTGGCCGAACCACATGCCACAGTGACGAGTATGGCAGGACCGCAGGACATCAACAACGACGAGATGGCAACTGAACTACGCAGCGGATCACCGATACCGGACAGGCGACTTCAGGCATGTCCGCTGCCGCTATATTATCGTCTACAATATTTGCAGCAGCATATATCTGATCGCTGTCAAACAAAGATATGCACAATACTACCATAAATTCCTCTTCGTTTGGCTGAAATTTAATTGCTAATGCTTATGCTGATTAGATGTGAGAGAAAAACGTTGTTCTTTCTGCTGAAATAGTGTTGCGGAACAAGGATATGCTCGAATCGTTACTAGAACTCAGGGAGATTCAATTGAAGTCAAAAAGCAACGAAAAACACAACAACCGAGTAATCGAGTATAGCCACTAAAACGCTTCACACTGACACAATAATGTCCCATTTTAATCACGCAACAAGGGAACCAACCCCTTCAGCATCAGCAAAGATCAACGTTGACTCATTTGTGCCAACACCAGAACTGGGAGAAAGGAACACTAGTGCGATGCATAACAGATGTTTTAAACCCCCATGATAAGTTTTTGTGTTTCATGGACATGGAAAAAAAACTGGGTGAGTAAAACATGGCTTGCTATGGCATTCATGGCCTGAACCCGTAAAAATTTGAAATCCAACTTCATGCCAAATCGCCTCTTTAGATCCCAAGACCAAACACTCCGCGTATCCTCTGGAATATGAGTTCCCTCCAGCCTCTCTCCGTGTTCTCTACCACAGTTGAATTCCCATACCTGCAATTCTCAAAGGCAAACAGATTATTATGCAAGTACAACAGACAAGCATCAATAGATTTGATGTTCAAAGCATAGGAGTATCAACATACTTGTCTTCCTCTGGCACATCGGTTTGTTTGAGCTTTATGATTGTAACTCCAGACTCGGGCTCATCAAATGTCAACCGGACCTGCATTTCGAGTTTCAACAGCACGGTGAGAAGAGAAACATACTAAGTAGTAACATGGCTAAAATAATCCAGATGTATGCACAGGCATGATCATAATAATTATAGACGCCTGGTGCACATATGCGTCTACTATACCATATCTCAAGCGAAATCCTACATTCCTACAGCAATAGCCATAGAGCAGCATTGGAAAGGAGAAAAAAAAATAGATGGCTAAGTATCTAAATCCACAAGCTAATCACAGCAAGTCTACACACACATTCCAAATAAGATGAGCCTACAGCCCCACACATACATGATGCATTGCTCAGAAGTGTTGCATACCCACTGCTGAAATTCAAAAATTCATATGCTAAATTACTGCTGATCAAGATAACAATTACACTACCCTATAAATGAGACATGCAAACAGAAACACCAAAATGTTATGATTGATTACTTATGAACTCAGGATAAATAGTGTATGTTGCATGATTCCACATAGTACGCGACTACATGTTGATCATGCGTTTGGCAACTACATCCGTCCCCAAAAGAATGGAAATCTCACTTACCAAGAAGTCAAGCAATCCTAACTTTGACTAAATATTTATAAAAAAAAATACCAATATTTATGATACATAACATTATCACTAGATTAATTAATCATGAAATATGTTTTCACAATAAATATATTTGAAGATAAAAATGTTGAGAGTATTTTCTATAAATATAATCAATTTTGAATTGTTCTCGTGAAGCAATACTTCCATTCTTTCTGGAAAGGAGGGAGTAAATGCTCAGTACAAAGTGAGAAAATTCAGCAACCTACAGTGCTCAATTAGAGAGACCTAATTCTTTAAACAATCGACAAATTAGATGGTATTTTACTAGACGGTGCTATGTGCGTGTTTAGATGGTATACTCCATTCCAAATTATAGTTTCCTTTTGTCTTCATCCTAAGTCAAACTTCTCTAACTTTGACCATTACAAGTTCAAATAAATGCACATTAAAAAAATATATATCATAAAGGATATAGTGAATGAAACTAATTTAACGTTTGTAGATGCTAATGCATTTTTCTATAAACTTGGCCAAAGTTAGAGGAAATTGACTTAGGATAAAGCTAAAGTGAACTATAATATGGAGTGGAGAGAGCTACAACAACATTAATTAATTAGCGTGTATCCTTAAAATTGGACTTCATCAAGGGTCATCAGCCTTAAGCCCGTATCTCTTTGCCTTGGTAATGGATGAGAGATTATCAGGAACATACAAGGGGATATCCCTTGGTGTATGTTGTTCACTGATGATGTAGTGTTAGTGGACGAAAGCCAGGCGGGAGTAAATAGGAAACTAGAGTTATGGCGGCAGACCCTTGAGTCTAAAGGTTTTAGATTGAGCAAAACTAAAACCGAATACATGAGATGCGACTTTGGCGGAGCTGCATAGAAGGAGGGAGATGTGAGTTTGGAAGGTCAAGTAGTGCCTAAGAAGGATATCTTTCGGGATCCGGGATCGATGCTACAGAGGGATGAAGATATTGATGCGGACGTTAGCCATAGAATCAAAGGAGGGTGGATAAGTGGCGAAAAGGTTCTAGCATTCTCTGACGATAAGAGGATACCATAAAAGCTAAAAGGCAAGTTTTATAGAACGTCGATTAGACCGGCTATATTATATGGTGCAAAATGTTGGCCTACAAAGATTCAACATGTTCAACAACTGAGTGTTGCAGAAATGCGTATGTTGCGATGGATTTGTGGTCACACAAGAATGGACTGAGTTCGGAACGACGATATACGTGATCGCCTAGGGGTAGCATCAATTGAAGAAAAGCTTATCCAACATCGGTTGAGGTGGTTTGGCCATGTCCAAAGAAAACCTCCAGAGACACCAGTGCATTGTGGAGTCCTAATATGAGGAGAGGTAAAGGAAGACCGAAATTGACATGGGGGAGACAATAAAAAGAGATTTGAAAGCTTGGGATATACCTAGAGATCTATGTTTGAATAGGAGTACTTGGAAAGTAGCTATTGAAGTGCCTGAACCGTGACTTGGGGCTCTTGGTGGGTTTCAACTCTAGCCTACCCCAACTTGCTTAGGACTGAAAGGCTATGTTGTTGTTGTTGTCGTCATTGAATCCTTAGATTGATGTTGGAATTTGAGTTCAAAATGGGAGGAAACAACGACACAGCTCATAACACTTGTATTTTCTTGAATAGTCTTATTAATCGTCAGTCGTATTTTCTGGAATTTAACAAACTATTAATCATTAAGAGCTATTCACATATCTTCCCCAACACTAAATTTCAGCATCCAAATTTATGTACCTAGATTAGTGAGCATACAAGAGCAATAGCAAAATGATTAGCTGACATAGGTACCTAGTCATGGCATGAGGATCTTACCGAAGAGTACAAGCCGTCAGGCCAGCTTCCAAACCGCCACTTCTGTGCAATCAGTTTCCCTTCCTGCAGCTCCTCGTTGACGCCAGTGATGGACCCATCAAAGAGGATAAATTCCCCTCCAACCTCTCTGCTGATCCTCGTATTGCTCTGTGTAAACCCTTTCCATCTGTTCTCATCCATCAAGATCTCATATATGTCCTTTGAGCGGCAGTAGAACTTCTCCGTCATCTCAATGGTCTTGAACCCCTCCTTGTCCTTGCCCTTGGACTTTTTCTTCTCCGCAGCCGGCGCAGGAGCCACCACCTCTTCTTTCTTCGCCGGGGCGGCGCCAGGCGCTGCAGCGGCGACCTTCGCGGGAGTTTTCTTGGACTCCAGCTCGTCCTTGGCCGGTCCACCCTTGGCCATGGCAGCGACGAACTCCCGGATCTTCTCGAGCACCAGGGGTTTGCCGCTGGCGAGGAAGGCGTCCTTGGCGCGGAGCGCGAGGGGCGTCTCGTCGCCGCGCACGGTGACGCGGAGCTCGGGGTCCTCGTCAGCGTTCTCGTCGGCGAGGTAGGGCACCTCAGCGGCGCCGGCGACCTTCACGGCTCCGGACTCCGAGGCGGCCTCGGCCTCCCAGGAGAGGGTGAGCGAGAGCTCGTACCCCGGGATGACCTTGCCCTTGCGGATGTTGACGTAGGCCTCGCCGTCGAGCTTGTCGAGCGCGACGGTGCGGAGCGTGAGGCCGCCCTCGCCGTCGAGGACGGTGAGGCCCGCGAGCAGGGAGGAGAGCCGCGCGCGGGACCACTCGAGGCAGTCGCGCTCCGCCCAGTGCCAGTTGTGGACGTTGGTGCCGTCGGCGCGCTCCTCCACGATCCACCGCTTGTCGCCCTCGCCGTACTTCGCCATGGGTGCGCGGTGGTGTTGGGGGGAGGGGATGCGGGCTTTAGGGTTTGGACGGGCTCGGATTCGTTTGGATCTGCGCGAGCGCCGCGAGGTTTCGTGGTGTGGGGGTGTGTGGAATGGATGACCGGAGACGAGAGTTTTTTCAGAGCAGGAGGCGGCTGCTTCTGGATGGTTCGGTGGTGGATCGGAATACTCTCGAAGTTCAGGGGCAAACAAGGGCAAGGAGTTTTTTCAGAGCAGGAAGCGGCTGCTTCTGGATGCTTCTCTAAAAAGCCTGCTGTTGACGAAGCTAGAGATTTTTCAAAGCCGCTGGTATTTTCTTCCTTTTCAATAAAAATAGAAATTTTGATTGAAAAATACATTTCAACAGTTTTTTAAATTAGATCTCTAAATATGGACATCCTTGATGCTAGATTTTTCACTAATTAACGATGAAAAATGAGATTGGCTTAAGCACAAGATACAAAAAAATGATAGAGGATGGAAAGATATAGATAACATTTTTATTTAAATTACTCTACAAATAATAATTGAGAGTGTGAGTTTAAGAAAAACTCTTGAGATGCACTTAGGCCATTTCTTGTCCTAGATCTTATCGCACTGTTTACAAAAGCAATTTGTAGTTGATAAGATAAATTAAGACTTGTGATGCATAGTTTCATTTACTGTACAGTTTCATAGGCGTGCGCATCTAGATGTTGAATAATGTTATCAAGTTAAATGCTCCTGGTAGAGTTTCACTAAGTTTTCAATACATGGAAATAAAAAAAAGGCTCATAGTTTAGTTTCGTTATATTTACAATGGGTCGTTAACCGTGCGCTTATAGATAAAACCGATCTCTCTCTTCTCAAAATTTTAAAGTCATGTTATCATTTTTTACTTATGTGTCATCTAAATAAAACTCCTATTAAGACTAGCCTTCATGTAAGGCACGCAGGTGTTTATATTTATTTGCCATGTAACTATAGATAGCCATGAGATGCAAGGGCTACCTTGTGCCTCGCTATTTTGGCGTGGATTAGGCCTGGCCTAGCCCAACGCTAAAACTGTCTGAACCGAGCTGGCACGTAGTGCCGACACGGTAAGTCCCGATTAATAGCTGCCATTAGTCCCACATCTATCTCACATATATACTCATATAAGTACATTATTTTATTTCAGTACTACATGAATGAAAATTTCAAATGTGTGCATACTTTACACTCCTATTTTCTAGATCATTACATAGATTCAATAATTTAACAATACCCTGATGTTCTCACAATATTTTTGAAACTTGATTAGGGAGCAAAAGACAACTTTGTAGCATCCAAAAAAAAGTTTCAAACAGCTTTATTTGGTGTTCATTTCAAAGTTCTTGTTTCTAAACAGCTCTGTAGGGAAGTTCTTGTTTCCTCACCAGAGCATCATAAAATGTAACTGGTGGGATGCAGCGACACGCTGTTTGGTTGGCTGGCCGACGAGCCAAGCCTGGCTCGGTGGGTGCAACGGACGCGCCGCGTCCTGGCTCCGTGGAAACGCAGATGAGTTCCGTTTCTCACGAGACAGGCCCGCGCGATGCGGCTTGCGCGCTGGTTGTGAAGCAGAAAGCGCTAGCGCAAGACGCAAACAGGCAACCAATCGTCTTCTCGCAGCAGCCGGGCCAAAAACAATAACCAATCAACGTCGCCTCGCATGCGTTCAGCCCGGACAGCGGCAGCCTGGCTCCCAAGAACCATCCAGGCTGCCCACTTCTCTCAACCAATCAGGCCCTTATAAATCAGGCAGGAGGGTGGGACGTTGATAGCGGGGGTTATAAGGGCGTGATTGGTTGCAGAGCAAGCCTCGAACTAGGATGGCTAGACTGTGCAGGACCAAAGAAGCTGGGTTGAGCTCGTGCAAGTGATCGTGTTTGGTTGTCTTTATTGTTGGTTCAGTACGAGATGAGCTCATGTTTGGTTGCATGCATGCATCAAAGTTTTGGGTGTCTGACACATGGGTCCCTGCACCATGCGTGAATTAAGACATCCTGCATGGAGAGGGAAGTGAAAATTGAGAAGACGGAGACGTGCGGGATGGAGGAGGGCAGATAAACAAAAGGATGCAGGCGAAAGGTGCGAGCAAGGGAACCAAACACGGCCGCAATGCACCGAGTGATACCGGATGGGCCTTCGGACGGCGTGAGCAGGGCAACCAATCACGCCCTAAGTGAACGAGGAGACACTTATAACTTACCTCATTCACATGATTATGTCATGTAAATAAAGTTATTTCTTGATCCGTTTAGGAGTACACTTTCCTTGTTTCACTTCAAGAAGTCAACGTGGTCTTTCATTAGCAGTACTTTTGTAAGTCACGCTCGCATCTTTTTTTATCTTTTGGTTAGTATTGACCATGACGATGTATTTCTACTGTGCCACGGTCAATACTAGGACAGCATAAGAGCTACCTAAACTTCTCTCGCTATGCGGGATACAAAACATGTGAATCATCACAAAACTTCTCCCGCCATGCACTATGCCAAACTTCTCTTCATGCAGGATAAATCTATATACAAACATGCATGCTTAATCCAACGTTGGTCAAATTAGACATGTATGTTACTTATTGCAACTCTTATCATAAAAATATTTACTTATACTTTATTTTTCAATTAAATCTTCCGTGGGTTCCAATTAAATCAAAAATTAATAAACTAACAAAAAACAGTCCATGAACTGGCTTGACTCAAGCTTTTTCATTCACATAGCCCAACATCACAGCCCGTTGGCATGCAGCCGAGTGATTTCGTCGGTTAAATAAACAAGGTGCTTCTACATCAATTCTACATCACCGTTGAACAGAAAATAAAATTAATGCATAAAACTCATAAATCAACTTGAAATACATATAACTACTTTTTAAAATTAAATTCTCCCGTTGTTCGAATTTAATTAAAAGATAATCAACTTCATTACGGTGGAAACACGATAATAAAATACATTCTATTAGTTCAGGAGCATTTCTTGGCCTTTATGTACTCTTTGAAAAATTGATCATGTTGGTGTAAAATTTATCAGAGATTTAAACTTTAACCTTAAATTTATTATAATATTATTATCATCAACGTTGGTCAAAAAATAACAATACCATAATTTAACATAAACAAATTGGACTACTACTCTAATTTAAAATTTTCCCATTGGTTCTAGTTTAATTAGAGGATAAACATAATCATAATTTACTAAATATAACTGATTTTCAAATTAAATTCTTTCGTTGGTTCGAATTTAATTAGAAGATAATAAACATTAAACTTTGTAGCGGAAACATAAAAAATTGTTTATCTACTTTTCAGAAGCAATTTACCGTACTCATCTACTCTCTGAAAAAATTATCCCGTTGGTTCAAATTTTGACAGAGATTTAAACTAGACAAAAAGCATCAAAATTTGCTTCTGAAGATAATAAAACAAAAACTTCAGTATTTACTGTCCATTTGGGCCAAAAACGTGAAAATCCGATCCGTGGCACAACTCTCCGGCGCGTCCGCGCGCGTGGCCCAACGACAAAATTGTGGCCCAGCGGCCTGCTTACCCATCGCGCGCGCCTGCTCCCCCATGCCCAGGCCACAACCTAGGCTTGGGCCGGGGATCTACCGCCCCGCCTGTGCTGAAAGTTGATCCGAGCGCTCGGAGCCGTCCATATGGATCAGACGGCTCTCCGGTGCTTGCGGCCGATCAAAAACGGCGTCCACGTCGCTCCCCAAAAACCCTAGCTCCATTTCGTTTCCCCTCCCTCTCCTTTCCTCAGTGTCGAGACGGAGAGCGGCGACTGCGACGGCCGCTCGTGGCGGCCGGAGGAAGAGGTGGTGGCATCGCTGCAGGGCTGCTCGTCGACGCGCGCGCTCGCCCGAGGGTGAGCGCGCCGCCGTTGAGCGGCCTTGTCGTGATGCCCTTGACCCCCTGACCCTGAGGCAGAGGCTCCGCGGCGGCGGGGCCTCCCCGGACGGCGGCCCGGGAGCTGCTTCCAGCGCGACGTCGACGGTGGTGACAGCGATAGGTGAGCCCCTGTGCCCAAACCCTAAATCATTTCTCATTCTCCCCTTTCTCCTTTGTCAGCTCTCAGTGCAGCAGATGCCGGAGAAGAAGTGCGGCACCGCCGCGGGTCCCCTCGCCGGAGCGCGCGCTCCCCAGTGGGTGAGCGCGCCGCCATTGAGCGGTCCTGTGATGGTGCCCTCGGTCGGGGCTCGCGCGCACGGCGACAAACGCGGTTCGGTGATCTCCTCGCGTGCCGGGGAGGCGACGGCGGGTGCTTCTTCCCGCGCGCGGCAGTGTCGATGGTGGTGGAGAAAACCGGGTAGGTTCGTTTCCCTCTCCGTCCGTTCTCTTCTAGGGTTAGGGTTTCGGGTTGAGGTTCGATCCGGTTTGAATCAAATCACCTTCTTCTAAAGTTATTCTCGGTTTTCTACCCCAATCTAGATCTACAAACTAACAACCTAGGCTCTGGTACCAATGATAGAATTCTTGGACTATCTAGGCGTAGATCTAGTAGGTAAAACATAACTTATGCATCGAGTGGCACTAGGTGGTTGTCTTGCAAGCTGGTGGTGCTTGTTATTCTTGAAGGTTGCCACCTCCTAGACGGCTTGGTGGTGGTCTCCGTCGAAGCCCGCAAAAAGCTTGTGCGGTGCTCCAGAGAAGAGCTTTATGAGGGGCATTGTGCTCATGCTCGTGGGAGCCACGAAGAGCAACTCTAGTAAAGCGTGTCATTGAGCTACCCTCACTTCCGGGATAGGTTCTTGCGGTGCTCGACGTGCGGGCTTGGCGGGTGATGCCACTTAGCCGTCGAACCACCAAGTGAGCGGTCGACACAACGGGGACTAGCATGTTGGCAAGCACGTGAACCTCGGAAGAAAAATCACCGTGTCAACATTGTTCTTTCCGTTGATTTGCAATCCCCTTACACAAGCTTGTAATTACTTTCATATACATTGTGATTGTATAGTTGCTCTTGTAATTAGTTTGCCTATGTAGCTCACTAGA